CTGGGGCAGACTCTGGGGGTCGGCTTGGAGCAGCCCCCAGCTCCGTGTGTCTGACGCTTCCCCCGGCAGCGATGTGGGGGTCGCTGTCTCTGCACGATAATCCCACAATTGCATTAGTGCTGCTCCGGTTTAATGCAATTAGCCCCTAATTAGCTGCACCCTGCGGCCCTGGCTGGGCTGGGGGGCAGCACAGCCGGGGGTATCCCCGTACCCCGTTTCCCCCTCAGGAATGTCCCCCTGAGCAGTTCCCAGCCCGCTGTGGCAGCCCGGGGCCTTGGGCAGCTGGGCAATACTCCTGTCCTTGCTGGTACCCAGTACCAGCCTCTGCTGTGCCCAGTTCCTGCCCAAACTGGTGCCCAGTACGAGCCCCCAGCACTGCCCAGTGCCAGCCTGTACTGGTGCCCAGTGTCATTCCTGCACTGAAGCCAAATGCAGCCCCATACTGGTGCCCAGTGCCAGCCCATACTGGGCCACCAAACTGGTAGCCAATGCCAGCCCATTCTGGTGTCCGGTGTCAGCCTGTACTGGTGTCCACACTGGCACCCAGTGTCACCCCATGCTTGTGCCAAATGCCAGCCTCATGCCAGCCCCTAATGACGGACAGTTCTTGCCCACACTGGCGCCTGGTGTGGCCAGTACCAGCCCATGCTGGTGACCCCTACTAGCCCAAACTGCTGCCCAGTGCCAGACTGTACTGGTGACAGTGCCAGACTGTACTGGTGACAGTGCCAGCACAAACTGGCAGCTATTGCCAGTCTTTTGCTAGCCCACACTGGTGCCCAGTGCCAGCCCATTCCAGTGCCCGGTGTCCCCATGTCCCCATGTCCCCATGTCCCTGTGTCCCCGCCCCACCCCGTGCTCGGCTCGGTGGCGCCGCCGCGTGGGGACCCAAGGGAAGGGAAGGTGTCACTAGAAATCTGTGGCCTTATAATTTATATAAATTAATAATATTTATACTAATTATTATAATAATTATAATTATTAAATTAACAAGTTGTTCTAATTAATATTAAATATAAATTTTATTCTTCTACATTTTATGCTTATTTTTTATTTTATAGTTAATATATACTTTTTATATATAATACTTTAAAATATTTTAAATTTAACATTTAACATACCATATATGAATAAATTTTTATTAATAATTTAATATGATTATCTCAAATTGCATATATCAATATAATTGCATTACATAATATTTTAGTATTTTATATTACAGAAATTTTATCTGTATATTTACACATCTTCCATACTTCATATTTTTCGGACATTTAATTTCTATTTAATAGCTATTTATATTTTTTATTCTTATCTGTTATATGTTTATATTTTATAGTTATTACATACATTTTATTTCTATATTTTTATTTGTGTGTATATATACACACCCTCCATACACAGAGTACAGGGACAGGCCTGCCCCTCTGACCAGGCCACACACAGGGTATTGGCAACCCTTTGTTCTAACCAGTTGCCTTAAAAGAAATCAAATCCAATCAAAATCCATATATAATTTATGAACTAAAAGTGGGAAGCAGTGCTGGAGGAAGCCTGGAGCAGCTCCTGGATGAGCTCAGGGAAGCCAAGAAGAAGAAAAAAACAACCCTGAGAATTTGGAGTTGTCCCTGTCCCCACCTCAAGGACCAACTCCCAACTCTGCTTTCCCAGTTTGGGTTCATTTCCCCCTTTTCCTGCCCCTTTCCAGCTCTATCTGTGGGATGTGCTGTTGAGTTCTGCTCTCCAGCTCCTTTTACCTGGCCAGGGCTGGAAATGTCAGCCGCATCTTGGAGCACCTCTTAACCTTCAGCGTTCCCAGGGAGCGCGGCAGCGATTCCCCAGCAGGGCCTGGGATGCAGAAAAGCAGGAGAGGGAGACAAATCGATTTTTGCTGCTAAATTTAGCCTCAAATATCAAGTTTAAAAATAAACTTCCTAGAAACTTGTTGGTTTGAGGGTTTATTCTAAAGGTTTGTGCTGCTGCCTCACTCCCTGCTCAGTTGTCCCAATATCGCTGGGACACGAAGGAACTTGAGAAGATTCTCAAATCAGAGAGGAAAATCTTATTAAATACCAGAAAAAATCGAAGGAGATCCCACCTGGAGGACCTTTTGCCTGTGGAATACCCCCACCACAGTGGAGATGCCCTAAATAACCCCCAAACCTTTTTAACCTCTTTGGGATTGTAGACAGGGAGGATTTTTGGCAAAACCAAACTGCTCACACCACAGTGCCCTGATTTGTGCTGATTCTTGATGCTTCTTCTCCAAAGACAATGAAACCAGACATTGATATTGTACAGGGAGAAAAACGGGAGGAAAATTTGTTTTGCACATCCTTTATTAAAGACCTGTCTGGGCCCCATTTGCTCCCAGGACTGAGGGGTTTGAGGGCAGTGCATGTTGACAAAGATTTCACATCAGATTTTTGGTGCAATTTCACTGCCAGCACATCTCTCAGGCTTGCAGCCACCCCAGCAGAATCAACAGCCTGTACCACCCCAGCAGAATCAACAGCCTGTACCCAATTGCTTTGAAATTAACTTAAACTAAGCAGATAAAACACTCCAGTAATTTTATTGCAATTTGGCTCTGCTGAACATTGAGGAATATCTGAAAGCTCTTGCTGAGGGGTGTCCAAAGTGTGCCCCTTTCCTTTGGCTCCTCCATCCTCTGGACCTCCCACAACCTCACACGGAGCAGGATTTTTTTTCAGCTCTGAATTTTTGCAGCATCCCCAGTGTTGTTCCTCTCTGAACATCACAAACTGCCAGAGCTGCTGGAGCTCGCAGAAAACTTCTGGGTGTTGCCTACCTTGGGTTTCTTTGGAAGAAAAACCTATTTGGCCCTAAAGGAGAGTTTTAAAATGTTGGATTTTACTCAAAGCCCTCAGTTCAGCTGTAGCTGCAGCAGCTGCTCACACCAAGTCCCTGCTGGATCGTTTTCCACCAGATCCTCGCTCCAGACCCAGCTGGCTGCGATGATGAGAAAGTCTCCTGAAAACTCCTTGCAGAAGAGATTGTTCCTGTTGGGGGGATGGATGAAGAAACCAGATACCAAAGAAGCTTTGAGTCAAAGGAGAAGAGGATCCTGAAGCTCTGATGGAGTTGGAATGGTTGCTGGAATTTCCAGATGCTGGAGAGGGATGCAGCAGTGCCTGTGGGCAAACAGCTCTTCCTGCCTCAGCTCAGCCAGGCTAAGCTGCCTGGTTTAGTCCAAATTCCAGGAAAACCACGTGGGAACCAAATGTCCATAGTATTTGGGGAACAGTGGGAACAGTGTGAAACGGGGATTTTGATGCTCAGGTTTGCAGAGAGCACAGGAGATGGGGCTGGAGTTTTGTCCTTCTGAGATGGAAGCAAAGATTAAATGAGGTGTAGTCCTGGGAGAGGGGAGGAAACCCTGTCAGGTCCCATCTTCTGGAAGGTGACCACTAATGTTACAAATTTCCTTTAAAATTCTGTCAGGACTCAAACCCCCTCCTTCACTCCTCCTCCTCCAATTTTTAACCATTATTTCAGCACCTTTCTCTCAGAGATTCTTTTATTTTCCCAAACCTTCCCTCTTACTGGAGCAGTCAGGCAGTCTCTGCCTGATACATTCCTATCCCAAAAACCCCTGGAAACCTTTCCCCAAATTCCCTGTGGGACAAGAACCTACCCTGTGACTCCATGGCCACCCAAGCCCCCCACACTGGCACTGTGTAAAACCAGCAGCAGGGGCAGAGGGACCAGGTCTCTTAAAATTATTTTTCCTGTGAACAAAATAACAATAAAGAAAATTCTAATTGGTACCTGTAGCACAGAGGCAGCAACCTTTATCATCAGCCTCGTGGTTTATTCCCAGGTCTCTCCCCAGTGATCCCCAGCTCTGTTTGGTTTCCATGGGAGTGGCCCAGGCCCCTGGAGACATCTGACATGGAAATCTTAAAGAAAACTCACCACAATCTTTTATAAAATATTCACTTTGGGCTGTACCAAACTGGGCTTATGGCTGAACAAAGCTTCTGCTCCAAACATGGGACACAGATTCCCTGTGGAAGGGTTCACACCATGCTCATGTTTATCCTTCCCAGCATCTTCCTGGCGTCCACCTCCAAATTCTGAAGTGGTGTGAGGATGGGAAGGATGGTGCTGCTGCTGAGGGCCAGGAGCTCAGGAAATGCCTGAGCTTTACTCATTCCTCAAGGAGCAGAGCAGGCACCCAGGATCCAGCAGGGAGCAGAGCCTTGTGCTGGAGTCAGAAGTGGGGAAAGCACTGACCCATGGATGGACAGAGGGACAGAAAGGCAAGAGGAGCAGCAGTGTGAGCCCCAAAGGTTGGTGACCACCCACAAGAGGCTCCTGGGAGAGCTCAGGGGGAAGGAACATTCCTGGCCTTTTGGTTCCTCTTAATTCTGCACCAGGCAGAGATAAAAAACCACGGGAGGTTTTCCCAGGTTTCCAGGAGGGCAGGGCACAGCTCCTGCCACACGAAGCACCACAAGGCTCTTTCCTTCCTCACCCTGGTGACAGTGGCACAGCCAGACCCCCACCCTGGGTCCAAGCTTTGGTCCCAATGTCCCAGCTGGGAATGAGGCAGGACAGTGTTTCTCTTTAGGGATGAGCAGGGAAGGATGGGGAACCCATGACTACAGCACCGCTGCGGAGGAGAGAAGGGTTGGTTCAAAGAAAAATCTCACTCCCACACCAAAAGGAAAGGTTTCAGTATATTTTAATAGTAAAATGATTCTTATTTTTTCAAGCAATGTCCCACCTGGATGAGTCTCAGCAGGATTTTTGCTTCCCGGTCCTGCTGTACCGGGGCAAAGCCTCGGAGGTCGTGGCTGTACCTGTGCAGAACAGTCCCCAAAAACTCACAGCGTGCTGCCAACGCCACCAAACACCTCCCAGGCAACCACCACCACCGCACAGGGCTCTGCTCCGGCTCTCAGGAGAAGAGCAGGAGTTAAAAGTTAGCTTTTAATAACAGTCTGGGTTAAGATTTGGAGCAGGCTACGGAAGAGAGGAGAGGCCAAGGTTTTATTTAGTAAAAAGATACAGACTCAGGTAGCAGAACACCTTACAGTGACTGACTGGGCAGGAAGGGGTGAGGTCAGAGCACAGCCCTCACTGGGGTTGGGTTTGGGACGGGAAAGACAACAGGGTGACTGTAGGGCAAGCAGCTTCAGACTCGAACTCTGGCTCCAACAGAATGGATTCAGAAAAATATTGCATGAAAAGCCTCAGGATTTTCTTTCTTTCATAGATGTATATTTACCAGTTTTCACAAAGACTGCAGGAATACGATTATAAACAATAAATTAGGACTTCATGTTGCTATCATTTGGCATAACACAATCAGGCAATTTTTCCTTTTTTAAATATAAGGCAACACAAGCCAACACATAATTTAATCCATCTTTAGTCAAATTGCTTAACTTTGCTCAGGAGTTACCACTAAAGAACGCTTTATAGTACACTTAAAAGAATTTAAATAATGACATAAGTGTACTAACTTACGCGAGGAGTCAGAAACGTACTCTGCTAAGCTTTGAAACCTAAATATTTGATACAGCCCAGGACTACACATTCTAAATTAAAAAAATACAAATAAATGTTTTCTAATTTTCCCATTTACGAAAAACTTTTAAGAATCTCTAGCCAACTATGACGTCACTTCAAAACTTGGGGGTTTTTTAAATTTTTTTTTTTTTTTTAAATTTTGTATGATGTCTTTTAGATTTTTTTTTTTTTAACCATGCTCATTAAGGAAAGTTCAAGGAGCAAATACTTAAGGCTTTGTTTCTCCAAGGGCTGTGAGGGAGGCCAGTGGATGGCAGAGGCCAGTGGGTTCACCCATACACAATGCTACTCAAACCCACACTACCAGGCGACATTCATACAGAAATATTACACTTAAAAGTTACAGTGTAGAGCAATATTTTTTAGCCAGTGTACATAGAAAGAATCAATGCATTTATTTTTTTTTAATTTTTCTTCTTTTTTTTTTTTCTTTTTTTTGTTTTTTTTTTAATTTCCAAACTTGATTGTGATCATTATGTTCAAGTATTAGTCTCTTTAACAGAGATGAGGAATTTTCTACTTACAATAAATTTGGCTGTTAGAAAGGAAAGGGATGTTTCTGTACACTGAGGAGAAGAAGATGTTGAGGTTACCCAGTAGTTAGTGTCCTGTAGTCACTGACTCAGTACTGGCTGCTGGAAGTGACGTGGGGAAGGAACAGAAGGAGTTAGGCACCAAAACCCTGGGAAAAAGGGATGTTATAAATAGCTTCGCTAATTCCCAGGGAGAAGAATTGTTCCATTAAATCCGATGGTGGAGAGGAACAGGGAACTGTCAATCCCACAGTGGCTTGTGAGAGGAGCTTTGATTCAGACCAAGCGCCTCCCATCCCACAGCGGCACCACGCTCGCTGCACCGGGGATGGACTGAGCTACATCTCCTCACCCTGACAGTAATTCCAGCTTCCAGAGAAGTGGCTGAACCCTTTTTGGAGTTGTCAAGTGGGTCTGGATTCCCTTCATGTGAGGCTGGCCAGACTTCTAGCAGCAAGGGATTCAGACAACGTGAGCTTTGAGGCTGGTGGAAGGGCAGTGGGGAGGGGGAACACGAAGAAAGGCAGCTCCCCGTGGCTGCCTTTGTCCCAAACCTGCCATTCCCCTCCTCCATACCCTGTCCAAAAACAGAAAGTGTCAGAAAAATCTGCCAGAGACTTTTGACTTTGGAAAAAGTCTAAATGATAAACGTGGGCAAGAAACAGCTGAAAAGCTTCTCCCTCTATTAAAGCCTAAATACATACCCCTAGCTGGCTCTGTTCAAACGTAGCCTCTTTTTCAATTACACAGGCCTCTAGACAGTGCAAATGGTCAATGTTTAATGCATTAATGAAATGGGCTTTCGAGTTGAAAATAAGCCCTACTCCCTGACAAAATTCTGTTGCTCTTAATCTTGTGAGGAAATTGAGATGGAAATGGAAGCAGCTACGCTACCTCGCTCTCGCTGGAGCTGGAGAACAGATGTGTCTGCGAAACCCTGCAGCAACTCAACCTCAGTCCAGCGAGGAGCTGCTCTGCAGAAGGCAAAAAAAAAAAAAAAGCTGCACAAAGGGGGGACTCTGTGGTGAGGAAACAGCTGTGGCGTGAAGTAGTGTAATGAAATTCTTTGACACAAAAGGCATGTTAAATATTTGATGCATAAAGGAGAGTTGATAACATGTAAGCAAAGCTCTTTAAATATACAGTATGTCTTCTTCCAATGGGTACTATAATGATCACACAAGTTTGCAAGTTAAAAATGCCTTGCTTATTAATTAAAATTAAGACTAAAACCTATAATTTTTTTTTTTTTGTCTGTGAAAGTGACTGCAGCCTATCTATACCCTGGGTGTTGAATATGAAGATTTCGACTATCGGTTGGTTCAGGTGCTCGGTTCATGGGAGGCCGATGGACTTTTCCCAGCACAGCCACGCTCTGGTCTCGGAAGCAGGACTGCTGGAAGTCCCCACTTAGGTAATCCATGGTCTGCATCACATTATTCTGGCTGGATGGGCCAGCTCCAGCTCTGTAATGAGTTCCTCCTGCACAATCCAGCGGTGCTCCCGCTGGCTGTCCCCCGTGGAAAGGCATGGTGAGGTCCTGGGACCCAGAGCTGTCACTGTTGGGTGTGGGCAGAATGTTATTCCAGAGGGGCTGGAAATAGTGCCCATTGGTATATGGCAAAGGTCCCTGCAACCCGTTCACAGGCGGAGAAGGCGTAGGCTTCTCGGTGGGGGGCTTCAAGCTGAAGGACTGGCCCATGCACAGTTCTTGAGGGTAGTTGGAAGTTTTGCCAGGGAAACTTTGCCCTGCGATCTCTCTCTGAGGGTGCTTTCCTGCGAGTCCAGCAGGCCCAGCAGCATCCCCACACATTTGCTGCAGATGTGCAAGCTGGTGCTGGTTCCACGCAACCGATTTGATTTCGTTCTGGTAAGCGGGTGGCACCCTGTTAATATTGACCATGGGCACATTAACAGAGGCAGGAGGAATAGTAGCAGCAGCATGGTCGACAGGGTTTACTACACAGGAAGGCATGGGTGTAGGGACATTGTGAGTAGATACCCTGGTACTTGCATTGATAAGCAGGTTGCGACTTATAGGGCTGGGGTTTGCGATCTGTCCCTCACACACTGAGGTAGTGCTAATGCCAGCTCTGGCCTGGCAGAACTGGTTAATCTGGTGCACAATGCTGCTCAGGTCCGGTGGCTGGTTCTGCTGCAGGGTGGCAGCCATAGAGAGGGGAATAGTTGAGGTAGACACGGTCACATTCGGCGGCGCGTCTGCATCCGGCATCTTTCTGCCTCCATGTAAACCCGGCTGCAGCAGCGCATTTGGGGGGTGCTGCAGGCTCTGGTGCGCCATGGTCTGAGGGTGCTGCAAGCCCTGCGGCTGCTGCATGTTCTGCGGGTGCGGCAGCGCCTGTGGGATCCCCTGAGGGTGCGGTAAGCTGGGTGGCTGTGGAATACCCTGAGGGTGCTGCGGGATGCTCTGGGGGTGCGGCAAAGTCTGTGCATGCTGGAGAGCCTGCTGGCGAGCGAGCGCCTGCGGGTGGGATAAAGTGCTTGGTGCAACATACGGCGTGGAGGGCGGGTTCATCATTGCCTCCGGCAGCAGGCGCGCCCGCGTCCCGTCAAAGTCCTTGATGATTCCTTTCGCTGGGGATTTGACTATGGCCAGCAGGCCCGTTTTCGTGGTGGCCTGAGATGGGTAGGGGCTGTACCTCTGGCCCGAAGTATCGAGTCCGTTCACAGTACGGCGTATGTGTTTCCTCTGGGGAACCTTGACGCTGTTTGGAAAGATTTTTATAGTCAGTGGATTGTTGGCGACCTTCTTAGCATAAGCATCCAATTCTGCTGGGGTAGGATACTGTGCAGATCTCATTTTCTGTGTAGTGTCCCCTGTGGAGAAAGTAAATTTGTCAGTTCTGGTAAGGAAGGGATCAACCCTAGGGCAAGACAGTCACACAACAAGAGTAGAAAATCTCCAAGGATTCAAGAGGCAAGGAAACCTCATCCTGCCAGACCAGCGGGTCACGTAGCAGATACCTCATTCCCTTTACAACCTGGTGACCAACACAAGCCCCAGTTCAGCTTAAGGCAAGACCTGCCCTGGGGAGCAGAACAAAACCGTGTTCTCATCAGAGTATGTTTGCAATTGGACAAAACCAGGTAACGTGTTATTAACATCAGATTGTCTCCAGCTGAAATTCCTCACAGCTTGCACTGACGGGCTGGTTTTTATTCTCTTAATTTAAGCTGCCTCCCCATAGCTCTTCAAACCATCCTCAGTATTTTTACCATGGAATCCAAAATCAGAAAGATATTAATTAAAGGTGAAGGCCCTGTAATCCTGAGGTGGGAACCATACTATGGTGGGCTGACCCTGGCTGGGCACCAGGTGCCCCCAAAGCTGTTTTGTCATTCCCTTCCTCAGCTGGGCAGGGAAGAAGAAACACAGAATCAGAACAAGGAAGGGGAGATATCACTCACCAGCTACTGTCATGGGCAAAACAGTCTTGGGGAAATCAGTTTAATTTATTCCCAATCCAATCAGAGCAGGGTAATGAGAAATAAAACCAAATCTTAAAACCCCTTCACTCAACTTCACTCCTGACTTTTTCCATCTCCACAGCACAGGGAGATGGTCACAGCTGCCTCACCACGGCCTTCCCGTGGGCTGCATGGAATCTCTGCTCCAGTGCCTGGAGCACCTTCTTCCCCTCCTTCTGCAGTGCCCTGGGGGGCTGTGCAGAGCTGTTCCTCTCACATATTCTCACTCCTCTCTACAGCTGCAGTTGTGCAGGTTTTTCCCCCTTCTTAAATCCTCTGTTCCAGCGGTGTGTCCATCCTGGAGCCGGCTGGCATTGGCTCCGTAAGACATGGGGGAAATTTTTAAGCAGCCCCTGCATTCCCCCACTACCAAACTCTTGTCCTGCAAACCCAATCCACATCAAAGCTTCAGCTCAAGCCTCCATTTACACCCCACTCCTTTCCTAGGTGCTGACATCTGAAAGCACTTGGAGTGTCTTTCTGTGCATTAGGAAGCTGTTGTCAGCCCAAGCCCAGCAAATGGAAGGAGGCTGATTATTTTATGGCCTGCAATTATTTCTTCAGCTGACTTTTGAGGATGGCACCTTGCTAAGGACAACATCCCCACATCACAAGGCAAAATGATGTGATTACCTCGCGGGATTAAAAACATGCTACTCCCCAGACAGAGACAAAAGGCTTCTGGAGACAGAGGTGTGGTTTCACTTCCTCTGATTTACCAGATACCTACCTGGCTCACCAGCTCCCAGCTGCTTCTGCAAAAAACTTCAGAAATCTAGGGAAATGCATGTGTGTCTCTTGCCATAATCATATTCCAAGCAGAGAATTGGGCTGTTTCTCACCACAGCACTGCTGCCTAACTCCTATGGGAGTAAAATCCTGCTGATTGTATAATCTTCAAATAATGGCTTGCAGCTTTGACAATCCAATTTAGCTTTTGCTTGATTTTTTTCCCCCCCACCCCCTCACCTTGCAAACAGTTCACTGGAAAAAAATACCCATCCTTTTCCCTAAAATTTTCAGCATCCCTTTGCTATTTGCTGTGCTGAGAGAACAGGGAATGTGGCGGCCACTCAAGAACACCCCAGCCCCATATCTGCCCCTCTGACCCAAGGAAATGTAATGCTCCAGGGAAGAGCTTACTGCTCCCAGGCAAACAGCCCTTCCTCCTGAAAATCCACCTCTGATTCTTTCAAGCAAATTGCCTCCAAAAGATGAGTACCAGCCACTTCTCTCTTTGCATCCCGCAGCTTCCTGTTGTCACAGGTGAGGGAGAGCAGCTCTGCTCTAAGAGCTCTCACTTTCAGCAAAGAAAGGTCAGGAAATGGAAAACAGAAGGGATACCAAAAGAAAGATTAATTATATAAGTATTAAAAATATCTTCTGTGAAATAAGCTTTACGAGCAGTTTGTCTTCCATCTCTAGCACAGCTTGTACCACGGTGCCAGTTATACCTGTACTCCCTGAGATGTCCAGACACTGGCACAGATCATCCCTTTCTCTTATTTCAAAGGAAATAATAACCCAAGCATCCTCTCTGTGCACATCCCTGTACCTGTCTCTGCAGGCAGGTGGTTCATATCTGCCCTTTTGAGTGAGCTGCTGTGCTCCTAGCAGAGAGGAGAGCCCCTGAATGGCATTTGCCAGTAGCTGTGTTATGGTTAATGTTATGCTTGCAGACACCGTCACATTCTATTCTCAGATAAAAAACTAAGGAGATGCTTTAAGACACCTTTGCCATCAAAATTCCCCAGCCTGGTTTACATTTCTGTAGGCAAATCAGAGAATTAAATATAAACACTAAACAGACACACTGAGTATTCTCTTATCCAATCATCTGATTTTCTGTTACACAGAAGTTTTAGGAAGCAGCTAAGACATGGATGCTTGAAACAGCTGCAGCTATAGGTCAGTCAGACACACCTCTACTCCCAAACCTGGAAGAATTCATTCCTCTGAGAGAAAATAACCCCTTAGTTAAATGATACTCCAGCATCAAATCTGGGATCATCATCTGGCATCCTACCAAAGGCAAATCACCTTTTACTTCCCTTGGATGGGATCTTCTGAACCCAAGCACCATTCCAAACAACACCTGGCTTATGTACAGGTAAGATTTTACTCCTTTTACTCCAGGCTAACTCAGCCATGTTACTCAGGCCTGAAGGTGATGTATTTCTGAGTACCCCAATGTGCTTTGCTAGTAGTTCCATAGGCAAGATTCCATGACTGTAATAATTAAGGCAGTAAAATATTAGGAGAAAGGCATTACACAGTGAGCAAGAAACTGAATATCCCATACAAATGCCCTACAAACCAATAAAGAACAATTAGTTTTGGTAACTAAGTGAATGGAAAATCTGCCAGAATAGTCTGAAGAAAATGCTGGTATTGGAATATCATCATTTGTGTGCAAGAGCAAGAATTCCAGATCAGACCATAATAAAAAGATGAGACAACAGCAGAAGAAGAAGCTTCATTAGGAAAACAATGGGATGAGCTCCAGGAAGTTCCCTAATGGTGAATGCAAGGCAGAATACTTTTATTGAAAAGTAATTATTCCATGTTTCTTACTAGGCAAAGCTATGCATATTAGCGATCACCCCAATAAACTGGTGAGCTGCAAGTTCACAACTCCTGCTAATCCTGTGGCAACCACTGGAGCTATTTTTGTCATGGAACGAGACAGATTTCCTTGCCTCACCTCAGCACTAATGGAACATCTTTTAAGTGCATTTCACATTAAGACTTTAAAACCACTGCTTTTAAAAGATGTCTATGGTTAAATTTTCATTATCATTAAACAAAACACAAACAGGCCTTCAGGATTGCTACCCTAATGGGAGCTCCTGGCTGGGACAAGCCAGAACCAGCTGTGTCCACCTTCTGCATAAACCCCTCAATTTCAGCAGTTTCTCTAAAGGCTTTACACAAAGAACCATCCCAAAAAGACTCAGTTTAGCTGATGATCCCACATTTAGTCCAATCTTCTCTTCTCTGATGTCCCCTCCCAACAAAATACTTCCTAAGGAGCACCTTTCACTTGATTTTGCACCATTGTCACAAAAAAACAACCTTTTTTTCTCCCCAGAAGATTTGGCACTGCTGCTATGTCCAACAGCAGCTGCAGACACAGCCTGAACAATCTTGCCTCAAATATCCCAATTGACCAGTCAGGTTTATACTGGAGTCACTGGGAGGAAGGAGAGAATACAGATACTGGGCCAGTGAGAAGTCCCCTGCATGGAAAAGGATGAATTCCAGGGTTAGCCTGAACTCAGGATGGAATTCAACAAAAAAAATACTGATAATGGAAGTCCTGTAGTCATCAGTTTCTAAAGGAAAAAATATGTGCATATAAATCTACCAAACTCCTACTACACAGACCACTTGTAAGAACAAGCCCCTTATTACATAGTGAATATGGGAAAAAAATGGTAATTGAGCTAATGTGGATTTTTAAGCACTAATAAAAAGTCTGATCCAGAAAACTAGACTTAAAAATTATTAATACAAACACTCTAAGTCTGAAGAAAGGCAATTCTGTGGATCCTGTGCCTTTTATAAAAGCAACAGCACTATTATTACAGCCTGCTTCCACCCCCCATCACAAGTCACTGTTCCATCAAAAAAATGCTCATTAACTCAGCTCTGCCCTGGCCAGGGGCTGGGCTACTCATGCATCTCCAGCAGAAGAGAAATGCACCAATTAATCGTGCCCACATCTGCAGCGGGGGCTGAGCAAGGTCTGTACCAGCAGCCTCATCTTCCATATAAATCAGAACAAACCCAACAGCTGAGCATTACCACTGCCAGCCCGTGCCTGCCAGCTACTTTATGTCCTAAATTCTTTGAAATGCAGTTCCCAAAGCTCTTCACTGAGCAGGACACAGCAATGCTTTCAGGACATGGATCTGCAGATCTCCAAGAAACAGCATTAGGTACCATCCATCAGGTGAGGAAAACTGCCCAACACACCAGCATGCTGCCTAGTAAAGCTGTAATTAGCAAATACCTGATTTATGCACAGCTGCCCTCACATGAACCTCAACACTTTGCTTTCAGAACTAAGCTCTGACAAAGAAATCTCACACAATGCACAGACCTAGGCACGTCCTCACCCCACAGGCTGTCAGCAATGCTCACACTGGAAACAGGAAAGAGAAAGGAAGGGATGCCCAGACTGATGCCATCACCAGTCCTTTGGCGAGTGAAGATTTTTATTGTTGCTGACTGTCATTACAATTACCAATCCCATGGAGCTGGCAAAAGTGCAGTGTGGGAGCTCAGGTGTGTATGTGAACTGTGTCAGTCACTTCTGGCAAGCCACTTAAGTGCAAAATTATCTTCCCTATTTATTTTCTGTAGCATCATAAGCCTCGCTATATGAACAATTTAGCTACAAGTGGACTGCAAATCACTTGGGTTTAAAAAGCAACGAGTGCATCAGCAAACTGAGATCTCCCAATGCACATTTCAAACACAAGAGACAGGTCACAGCTCTAAGAACCAAGTACACAGACCTTACATAGAAACCTTGGCATTTCTGAAATTTCAGCTGAACAATCAATGTGCTACTTCAGTGATAAAGAGGAGACAGAATAAGAATTAAAAAAACCTCCAGTCAGTAAACTTACATTCTCAAGCACAACTTGTTCTTAAAAATACCAGTACAACTATGAAAAAAATTACTGAAGTTATCAAAAAAGAATTATCAGAGCACTCTGCAGACATATTTTCAGAGGCAGCAAAGAGACATCAGAAAGAAGACGGAAACTTTGAACTTTAGTAATTTGGGCTAGCTCACTAATATTTGCAGTATAAGCCCCAGGTATGTAGAGCAAGAGCTGCTGACCTGAAAAGGTTTGCATTAGACTGATCCAACTTTTATTGGTGTCTACAAGCAATTGCACGAAGGAAAGCGAAAAAGACTGAGGAAAAAATTGTGTTGAGAAGCAAATCAGCTGGCACACTTTTAGCACAAAACCTTTTCAGCAGAGAGGCACGAATCTCACAGGAACCTCACCTGCTGCATCCTGCTGTGGTTAAAATTAACCTTTGCAGAGCCAGGAACAGAGGAGCTACACACATGTGAACCTCTACAGCCATTTCTCAGAGCCTTTATTGACAGATGCCTTGAAGGCACAACAAAAGAAAGACTCTACATTTAATAGTTTTTCCACTGTATCCTAAATGTTTATGTCACAGCGGTACCAGAGCCAGATTCAACAGTTAACCACATCCTGCAGACAAAACATCACTCACATTTCTGAAGTCCAGTGTTCATCTGCGTGTAAGAAAGAAGCTGAAAGGAGAGGTCACCTGGTCCTGGCAGACAGGCCAGCATGGCAGACAGGCACTAACACAACATGGGGCATTCACTCCTCTGCACACTGCAACAACAGAGAGACAATTCAAAGTTATAATACAAGGAGGAACAGAGAAAAGAAAGCGGCAAAGAGCCATCCCTGAGTGAAGGCCTAACCGAGCACAGATGCGCAACCACTGCTCCAGTCCTGACTGCATCTCCTAACAGCAACGGAAATACTTCAAGAACTGGGTCATCTGCAGGGTTAAAACCAAAATAGCTGCCTCGCTCTCCTCTGCTGCTTGACATACAGAGAATAATCCATAGCTCTGTCCTCACATTTCAAAGGTGGTTGTTATGAATGGTAAAGAAACCACCATTACTCATTTCACTATGCTGAAATGCACTGGTATCCACCAAGGCAACATCTCTAGAGAAACCCTGTCAACTGCCCTTTTGCATTTAACAAAAAGGCATGGCATGCATAAATTGAAGGCAAAGTATGCAGCACTCTGCCTTGTGGCAAGATTAAGCTGCATGCTACAGCTTGTAATTTCTGTGGTCCATTAGGCTGAAAGATGAATGGCTACAACTTCCTTCATTTTCAGCAGACTTGCTAACCTGAGCTGCTGTGGGACAGATAACAGCAAGATGTGCACAAAGGGGCTGCAGAGGTGCCACCATCCTAATTCTGTTTGGTCCAGCATTTAAGAAATCAAACCTCAAAATGGAGCACTAAAGCTCCTTGCATATAAACATGGCACAACTCCCCTCAAATCCCACCATTGCTGTGCAAAGAGGGATCCCAACAACAAGGCTAACTGGAGTTCAAAGTGTCCAATGTTACTCGAACTGCAGAGATTTAAGCTGGAACAAGATCTCTAAAGGCCATCTGGTCCAAGCCCCTTTACAAATCCTCCTGGCTGCAGCATTCTAGAAAGTTCTGGAAAACTGGGTGACAGAACCAAGCTGGAGAAATCAGTAGATTTTTTTTTCTCCTTGTCCAGATGTCCACAAGCACCAGTGCTGCTATAGAGAGCAAAATACCTAAGGAGCAGCTAGAAGGGCTTTGGGACTTGTTATATGACCTCCAAAACATGCGAAAAGTCGAAGGATTCAAGACATGTTAAACTGATTTAGTTTCAGTCGTTGTTTCACAAACCCCAATTAAAACAACTGGGAAGGCATTCAAAGATCAAAAGGGGGGGAAGGAGAAAGCTCAAGCCCATTCATGAGAAACCACATCTGCCAAAACCTCTCAAAGGCCACTTCTGAAAGAGTCTCGCTGCTGAGACGGCACAAACAATGTGATGACAGCGATGTGACACCATCAGCACCGCCACCTTCATGCTCCAGAAACCTCTAACAGCAGATTTCTGCAGAGACCTTTTAAAGACCTGAATGCAAAACCTCACCTCAGACCACCAGCACAGGTCAGACTGCCCATGGAATGCCGGCACCAACGGAGTGAACGGCTTGGACTCAAAGCTTTCCTGCAGCACAGCAATTACTCACTGTGTACACTTCATTAGCTCCATGTTTATGCATCTCCTCAGCTCAACACGCAAAGGTTGATTAAACCAACGGCCAAGAAATCTCATACAAATATTAATTTGTGAGAGCTTCTGCATTTTCACTGAGCTAGCGCTGTCCAAAGCTGACCCAGTGTGGCTGAGTGAGCCTGCTGGGTGCTGCTGTGACTAACAAAAGTGGTTTTGGGCACTGAATGTCAGTCTGACAATCCGGGCTGCTGCCCATTCTCTCTTCCCACGCAGAGTAACACAGACCTGGTGCTGTGAGAAACACACACACCTCCTCACCAAGGTGCAGGGCTGACAGCACAACCACCAACAGAGCTTGTTTGTATCATTCACCACTTCATTCCTAGGAGACAGCAACAATCTGAACTGCCCAAAGTCCAAGATATGTAAAACCTTGTAAAATAAATCTAAACCTGAATTTTCTTCTGATTCTCCGGAGAAGACTGAAATCTCGGAGTCTTTCAGAAATGATGACTGAAGACCTGTCACATCCACGACATCAAAGAATTGCTTGAGGAACTGAAAAGTTGCTCAGCCTTTATAGATGAGATTCAGTCGTGACTGTGGATACACAACATTCAGTGAAACTTTGCAAACAGCCTGTGGGCAGCAGTTCCTTGTCCCAAATCATGCCCAGTAAGACCAAAAAGACAAAACAAGAATTCAGCTCCTTTTAATCAGAAGACAAAACCACTGTGAGTTGTCAGAGCTTTACCTGAGTAAGCAACAGAAACACCCACAGTCAGCAAGAAAAAAAAAAATAATTGTATTTTCCTTTTTTCTCATTTCATCAACTTCAGAAGGCTGGCACAAACAAGACCTATTTCTCAGTGAAAAGCAGACAAACAAAATTTAGAGCCTTCACTGTAGACAGAAAAACAGATCACACTATTCCCATATTCATCTGAGCATCCACCTTTTACTCCAACAACATTTGATGCCAACCAAGGATTCACTTCCCATCCCTGCAGGCCCAAAGGAGGTCAGTGTCTAAAACATTATTTAATTGATGGTAAGTTTGTGTGCAGCCCTGAAAGAGCACAGCCACGCTCTGACTGAGGAAGCTGCATTTCTGGCAGCAAGATGCAGGGAGGGTTTGCTCACCTGCTCCATCATTAATGCTCATTAGAGCCTGAACTGTGATGCTCTCAGAAAGCCTCTTGCTGAAGTGGCCCAGCGAGGTGCACACAGCAATAAACAGGATAATGGCACATTAGGAGACAGAGAACAAGTGATTAGGAGTGGTCACAGCATTCACCTCAGAATAGCCAGGCTCCTGCTACATGACAGCAGTGCTTCCTTGAAGGTCAAAACATGTATTTACAGAAGCTTTAGCTCCAGTATGGAGAGCAATGTTTTAGAGAGAGCTATAAAGGCAACTTGTTCCCACAGGCAGATAATCGTTTTAAGTAATGCCAAAGGTTCATAAAAGACTGGTGTGGAAATAATAATTTTAAAGGAAATACTGGACTAACAAAAAATAATTTGAAGTGGAAGCCTAAAATCGCTCTTTTAGTTTGATCTGCAGTAAACAAATTGATGACTGCTGAGCATTAGAAAAAGAAATTGAGACTTGTATAGAAGTGCTGACCATAACTCCATCACTGAATTTCTTACTATAATTAAAATCCTGCTTCAGTTTTTCTTCTCTATGAAATCAGTACCGGTTTTCATAATTGAAATCTGAGTATTTGAAAACAAACACATTCAAAATATCTTGACAAGCACCCCATTCATTTTTTCTAGTTAGAAATTAATTAACATTTATTCCCTTTGAGATACTCAGCACCTGACTGCTGCTTTCTGACCTGACCCTTACCCAGCATGAGCTGACACGGACAACTCCAACTCACCAGCAGCAAAAATGAACTGAAATCCCTGGCATGGGCTGTATTTGGGATTGAGGTGAGCACTACTGGCTGTCTCAGGATTGGCAGCTGGGCCCATCAGCCCCTCCTGCTTGGGTTTATTCTTTCTAATTAGTCCAGAGCAGGAGATGAACTGAACTTGGCACATCAGGACTTCTCACCAGCAGATCTGGCTCCACAGTGGCAACTTGTGTGGGCACCAGCACCTGCAAAGCTCCAACCCCCTCCAAGAATGAATGGTGTGCTGCTGGGGGAACTGCAATGGAGAGGGTTTTGCACTGTACCAGGGTCAGTCACACTGTCAGCTAAACCAGTCAGCTGCAAACTGGAGAGTGATCTGACCAGTAGGCTGTGGCACCCAGCCATGGAGGGCTATGAACCATGAAAACCTGGGGTTTTAAATTGCATTTCAAACAGATTCTGTACACTGCCAAACGCAGCACAACAAGCTCTGTCTTGAAAATATATATATAAAAAAAGATAAAGCATATCTCTAGAGGAAACCAATCATTAGATTGGAATAAATAAATAAATACCCCTCTTTGAAGTGATTTTAATCTAATCTGGCTGCGGGATATAATCTTAACAGCACACACACTGCAGGATGCTCCACGAAATAGCAGGTTTAGACATGTGAACAGATTTCTTTTTTCTCCTAAGATTTATTAATAATTAAATCAAAGCATGCTAAGCTTAAGAGGGATTTGCAGTGCTTGGGATTTGGGGGTAATTGGCACATCCTCACAACGACTATTACATTCAGCCTTACCTGCACATTATGGTGTTTTTTGGTCCAGGCAGCAGAGTCCCCTGTCACCACAGGGGCTCACCAGGATGCAAGAACTCACATCCACCCACTGCCCAGGGACACCCCTATAGAGCTAAGAATCAGTTCCAGTACAACTTATCACAATATTGCCTTTCTTGACTTAAAAATGTATCATTTTCTGAATTATATTCAACATTTAGTGTTTATTGCCTCTGTGCTTCTCAGACCAAGGGGATCCTTTTACCATCTAGAGTAAAACCTATGTGTGAAGCAACTGCTAGGAAATTTCTAACAGTTTTATCGTAACATAAATGGACCACATATACAGCTATTGCCAAGTTTTTAGATACACCTGCCTCTGAAGCTCCTGAGAGGCCTTACAGGGTGAGAACACAAAGGAAACAAACCACACCTGGCCACTGAAACATGGGAAACTGAGCTGGTTTAGAGGAAAGCAAGCTGGTGAAGTCTCAAGTTAGGTTCCTGAAAGTGAACACACATGTTTGAAATTCCACAATTAACTGTGGGCTTGTTCACAAAGCCGGAGGCCAGGAGGAAGCGGGGAGCATCCACCCACACACGAAAGAAAAAGCTCCAAACTATTCCAAGTTTCCAGCACCCTGGGGTCCCGAAAGCCTCTATGTGAGGGTTGTTAAAGTCTTGTGGCTGCTATGCTTTGCTTCTCCTCTGCTGTTTAGTCACAAGGTAGTTCCATATCCACCGTGAAGTTCCAGAGACATGGGCAGGATTTATGGCAACCCCCCGAGTGCAGGCAGCACATGCCAAGTTCAGAACACATAAATGCTGCAGGCAACAACAAAAACTAACCGGGGCTGTGAAGTTTCTTTGGTACAAATGTCTGCAAGAGCTTGCCAGGAAACATAATTGAATCCGGGCCAATTTTCATGCTCCGAGGGAAACTCAGTGTGCCATTTACCCCCCAGCAGCCTGCTCAACACCAAGGAGAA